ACGCATGGCAGTGCGAAGACAATAAACGTTGTAACCGCATGTTTTCTAGACACTGTGTAAGAGTGCACATCCGCAGTGGCGGGAAGAGTTTGACTTTCACTACTTCTCTGACAGGATGGGCATCTTGGACATTGAGGTCTGGGGAAAGGACGGCAAAAAGCACGAGGAGCGACTGGGCACGTGAGTCCGCTCTGCTTTCTCAGTGGTGGGAGCGTGCGCGGCGCCTTCTGCACGAGGCTGGTCTTTGTCTGTTGGGCTTGGGGTCAGACCTCACCTGCCCACCCCAGGGAGCCAGAAGTACGCTGGAACCTCCCCTGGGGGCAGTTTTTATTTATTTATTGGTCGGTGGCATTTAGTATTTTTAAAAAAATTTTTTTTATTGATTTCAGAGAGGAAGGGAGAGAAAGAGATGGGAAATGTCAATCTAGCTCCATTTCTTTCCCATCCTTTGTCCTATCTATATATATAAAAGCCTAATATGCAAATTATCCCCGTGGGAGTTTGACTGGGAGACCGATTGCTTGCTATGACATGCCCTGAGCACCAGGGGACAGCGCAGAACGAAGGAAGGTCCCGGCTGGCAGCTGGGGAAGGGAAGGGAGACCCTGGCCGGCAGCCAGAAGGCCCCAATCAGCCTGGATCACCAGCCAGGCCTAGGGACCCTACCTGTGCACAAATTTCGTGCACCGGGCCTCTTGTTGCCATATATATTACATTTATATATGTTCTAAATTGAACAAGGCAGTGTTAGTTTTATGCAGTCCTATGCCATTTATTTATTTATTTAAAGATATTTTTATTGATTTCAGAGAAGGAGAGAGAGATAGAAACATCAATGATGAGAGAGAATCATTGATCAGCTGCTTCCTGCACTCCCCTTACTGGGGATCGAGCCCCCCCTACTGGGGCATGTGCCCTGATTGGGGAATCAAACCAACCGTGACCTCCTGGTTCATAGGTCGACGCTCAGACACCGAGCCACGCCAGCTGGGCAGTGCCATTTAGTATTGATCAAAACAGAAGAAAGTAGGTCCTGCCACACTCTCAGGATATTGTGGGTCCGATTTCTAGTCTGGCCCCTTCTCCCCCTCCTTCACCTACTCGGGGTGACCGACACCTCAGACCCTTCTCATCACCCCTGACCCTAGGCACCGCTGTGACATGCCCGTGCCCTGCCAACACCCACCTATGGGGGGATCAGAAACGCTGTGCTAGCCCCGGGCAAGGATCCGTTAGGTCAGTGAGCCGCAGAGCACTCTGTGTCCCGACCTGTCCTCCGAGTGGTGGGAACGTGGCCCTCAGTGATGAACGGCCGACCTGCTGTGTCGGTACAAAGAGCAGTACCCTCTCGCCCCGTGCATTGTGCTGTCACGGCTGCCCCCCGTCATAGGAAGTGCTGTTCCCCGTCAGTGTGAGGTGTCTTCAGACACAAACGCTGGTTTCCGATGTCCCTTTCACGCCGTGTGCTGTCACTCGGGTGTTTATTTATGACTTCAGCTGTTTCTTGTTTGTGTGCCTGTCCTAGTGGCCGTTCTGTCCTTTCTTTTTATGGATTTTGAAGGATTTTTTTTTTGTATCTTTTTCCTTTTTCCTCTCCCGCAGTCAGAGAGATCACAAAAGTGTCTCTCGGGAGCCGGTTACAGGGCATTAGCTGCAGCGAACCTCCGAGTGGGGTGAGACGTACCCTGAAATACAGACGGATCCTCAGAGTTAACGGGGAGATGGTGCGAGCGTGTACATACCACACACACGCTCCTTACAGTTTTTTATTTTACATTTTTCACTTATTTTTTTTTTCATTTTCTTTTCTTTGTTGTTGTCATTGCAGGGCTCAGTTATCTGATCTCCCAAATGTTGGGAAACACCTTTTTGGATCAGGAGTCCCTTTGACAGTGAGAATCAGTCATAATGGTCTCCTGAGCCCTCTCTGTTGCTTTTTTTTTTTTTTTAAATAAAAATCCTCACCTGCCCTGGCCGGTTTGGCTCAGTGGATAGAGCGTCAGCCTGCGGACTGGAGGGTCCCAGGTTCGATTCTGGTCAAGGGCACATGTCCAGGTTGTGGGCTTGATCCCTAATGGGGGGCGTGCAGGAGGCAGCCGATCCTGATTCTCTCTCATCACTGATGTTTCTATCTCTCTTCTCATCTCCCTTCTTCTCTGAAATCAATAAAAATATATATTTTATAAAAATCCTCAGCTGATGATATGTTTTCCCATTGATTTTTAGAGAGAGTGAAAAGGAGGGTAAGGAGGAGACAGAGAAAAAAAACATCAATGTGAAAGAGACACATCAATTGGTTGCCTCTTGCATGCACCCCAACCGTGGGGCAGGGATGGAACCTGCAACCCAGGTGTAGGTTGACCTTGACCTATGCCCTTGACCGGGAATCAAACCGTGACCTCCTGGTTTCATAGGTCAACGCTCAACCACTGAGCAACACCGGCCAGTCTAACCTGCTCCAACTTTTAAACAAAATGGCAAGAATAGAGATTGTAGACGCTCCCATTTTAAACTGGTACCAGTTGTTCAAAATAATCGTTTTCTTGACGTGTATTTTACATTTCAAGGCGACTGTAGAGATGAACTCGTTATGGAATCTTCTAGACTTACTTTCGCTTGGGCAACTCAAGAATGAGGATGCTGGAGCCCTGGCTGCCTCTGAGTCCCACAGGGTGACTTCGAAGAGGCCCTGACATTCGACTAGTTTATCAGTGGAGAATCAGGGATGGAATATTTCCCTGGACAAATGACACCCATGTCGTCGACCTGCTTTTACAGTCACGCTTGACACATTCCGCATTTTCCTCCTGTTCACCGCCCCCCCTCCTTCCTTAGCCTCTGAGATTTACGGCTTCGAAAACTACAGCACTCTTTCCTGCCCCTTGCATTTAAGTTAAAAGCTGGCCAGCCTGAAATATAAAACATAGAATTATGATAATGAGCGAGAGGTTAAAAGCTATCATGGCAAGGGACACTTGAGCAGGTTGGGCTGACGGGTACGGTAAAATTATGTGTGGAATTAAAACAATAAAATGAGGTGGGATTAATGGAGAAAGGCGTGCGCAGGAGGTCAGAAATAATGCTATATCAGCACATTAACTGGCTGTGGGCCGCAGAGCATAGCTTTAATATATGCCTGCTGCTGAGGAAAAAATAAGTGATTTAGCCTTGTTTTCTTTAGACGAATAAAACCATGGGCTTTTCAATATGGGAGGGGCCTATATTCCTTTCTTTATATGTAGACTAATATATATATTTTAATTGATTTCAGAGAGGAAGGGAGAGGGGGAGGGAGAGAGAGAGAGAGAGAGAAACATCAATGATGAGAATCACTGATCAGTTGCCTCCTGCACGCCCCCTACTGGAGACCGAGCCCACAACCAGGGCATGTGCCCTGACTTGGAATTGAACCATGACCTCCTGATTCATGGGGTCATCACTCAACCACTGAGCCACACTGGCCAGGCCTGGAGCTGTTATTGACTAAATATTCTAAGATCTGACTTCTGAATGATTGTCTAAACAGGTCATTCCCTGCCTCCTTCCCTTCCTCCCTGCCTCCACCCTCACCTCAACCCCACCCCCACCCCGCAGCCCTTCTAAGCATCAACAAAGCAGATGTGGTCCAGGCAAACCCAGAGTTCTCAGTGTTAAAGCAAATAAGCGCTTAGCACTCAGCCCCCCTCGTGGTGTTTGCTTCCGTATTTAAATGTGCTTGAGGTTTTCAACAGCCCAGAACATTGGCTGTGAAGAGGCGGAAACATGCAATTTATAGCAGATGGGGCCAGCCCTCGCGAGCCGTGCGGCTGAAGTGGGATCCATCAGCAGCACTTCATGCTCCATTTGTCCAGAAGGAGACCCGCCCGGGGAAGCCCCGTGGAACCCGCCTGTTAGGAAAGCACCTTAACACGCTGGTGCGAATAAAAACGCGCCCGCCCGCTGGCATTCAGCCGGAAGAAAATGTTTTTTTTCATTAACCCTCTCCCACTGACGCGTCTCTGGTCTTTTCTAAATTGTTTTTGAACCCTTTATTCTCTTTGCTGGAAAAAGACACGGTGCAGAAAAGCCACTTAGAGCCATGATACTTAAACTTGTAAAGTCCTTTTTCCCTAATTCTATTTTTTAAAAAAATATTTTTATTGATTTCAGAGAGGAGGGGAGAGGGAGAGAGAGAGAGAAACATCAGTGATGAGAGAATCATGGATCGGCTGCCTCCTGCACGCCCCACACTGGGGAT